CCAAGAGCGGACGAAGAGGGGCCCGAGAGGGCCCAAGAGGCAACAATTTCTTCATTTCCTTGTACAACGTACATTTTCGGCATACTCGCTGGCTTCGTCTTCACAGTACCCCAGACGCCCCCGCGGAGCCCCAACGCAGCCCAAGAGAGACCCAAGAGGGTCCCAGACGGCCCAACAGGGTCGTCCTGTGGGACTCACGGAACCCCCCGAGACGGCCCAAGAGGCCCCAAAGCCGTCCCAGGCGGCCCCCAAGACGGCCTCAGGGAGGCCCAAGAGTGCCTCGTTCGAAATCATGTTCCCGGAAGCCTCTCTGGGAACATGATATCCACCTTCCGAGGACGCCCAAGAGGCCCACAAGACAGCCTCAGCGAGGCCCAAGAGGGCCCGAGATGGCTTGAAGATGGCCGACGAGGGCCCCGAGAGGGCCTTCAAGAGGCAAACATCGGCCCATTTCCTTGGTAAAACGTACGTTTTCAGCATACTCGCTGGCTTCGTCTTCGCAGTGCCCCAGTTGCCCCCGAGGAGCCCCAAGACAGCCCAAGAGAGACCCAAGAGGGCCCAAGACGGCCCAAAAGGGTCGGCCTGTGGGGCTCACGGAACCCCCCAAGACGGCCCAAGAGGCCCCGAAGCCAGCCCAGGAGGCCCCCAAAACGGCTTCAAAGAGGCCTACGAGGGCCCCGTTCGAAATCATGTTCCTGGAAGCCTCTCCGGGAACATGACTTCCGGGCTCCTAGGGCCCCCTACTGTGCCCCAGGACAGCCTCAGCGAGGCCCAAGACTGCCCGAGATGGCTTGAAGATGGCCGAAGACGGCCCCAAGAGGCCCTTCAAGAGGCAAACATCGGCCCATTTCCTTTGCAAAACATGCATTTTCAGCATACTCGCTGGCTTCGTCTTCGCAGTGCCCCAGACGCCCCCGAGGAGCCCCAAGACAGCCCAAGAGAGACCCAAGAGGGTCCCAGACGGCCCAAAAGGCCCCGAAGCCGTCCCAGGAGGCCCCCAAGACGGCCTCAGGGAGGCCCAAGAGAGCCTTGTTCGACATCATGTTCCCGGAAGCCTCTCCGGGAACATGATTTCGGGGTTCCCAGGACGCTCAAGAGGCCCACAAGACAGCCTCAGCGAGGCCCAAGAGGGCCCGAGATGGCTTGAAGATGGCCGACGAGGGCCCCAAGAGGGCCTTCAAGAGGCAAAAAACATACATTTTCAGCGTACTCCCTTGCTTCGTCTTCGCAGTGCCCCAGACGCCCCCGAGCAGCCCACCCAAGAGAGACCCAAGCCCCAGATGGCCCAAAAGGGTCGGCCTGTGGGGCTCACAGAACCCCCCGAGACGGCCCGGGAGGCCCCAAAGCAGGCCCAGGAGGCCCCCAAGACGGCCTCAGGGATGCCCAGGAGGGCCTCGTTCGAAATCATGTTCCCAGAAGCCTCTCCGGGAACATGATTTCCAGGTTCCCAGGACGCCCAAAGACAGCCCCCAGAGGCCCCGGACACGTCGAAACTGGCCTGAGGACGGCCGACGGCGCCGCCAAAACGCCCCGAAGCTGAAAATTATAAATTTTCCAATGTTTTTTGAAGCATTTTTGCGCTCTCCCATGTTCCACCTCCGGCCCTTCAAATCGCTCCAAGACGGCCGAAGAGGCTCCCAAGAAAGCCCGGAGACGGCCCAGGAGGCTCCCCAGATAAGTCAAGAGGGCTTCGAGAGCGCCCCAAGAGAGCCCCAAGAGCGACCCAAGAGGGCCCGAAGAGCTCGATATTTCAAAGTCTCCGGCCTGAGAGGCTCCTAGGACGCCCCGGGAGGCCATCAAGAGGCTCTCAATAAGCCCCGTGAGGCTCCCAAGAGGCCCCCCGGAAGCCCCAATAGGCCCCCAATGGGCCCCCAGGGAAGCCCCCTGCGGGCCCCCAAGACACTTCGGTAAGTTGTATTTCCCAGATAGCTTTTTGGGAACATGATTCTTCCGCCCACCGCCCCAACCATGTTTCCAATAGGCTTGCCGACAAGGCCAAAAGGCGCCCCTCGGTTATCCCCCAGAGGCCCCCCTCTTAAGAGAGCCGAACAAATATGATGCTCCCGAAGAGCTTCCCGGGAACATGATTCTCTATCTCGGAGAAGGCCCGGGGGGGGGGGTGGGCGGGCCGCTGCCTGTTCCCCCCATCGGTGCCCACCGGGGGTTGCGGGGGGGGGTCCAGAGCTCCCGAGGCGGCCCGAGCCCGCCCCGAAGCAGGCCACGACAGGCTGAGTGGGGTCCCGAGAGTGCCCAAGACGGTCCCACGAGGCCCCGAAGACGCCCAAGATGCCCTCAAGACAGCCGACGAGGACTCCAACACGCTCCACGACGGACTCAAGAGGCTCCCCAAGAAGGCCCTGGAAGGCAAGATTCACTCATTTTCCGAGTGTTTTGGATTTTGGCGTTCTCGCTTTTCCCGCTTTCCAGCGCTCCCTCACGGCCTCGGAGACCCTTCAGATCGCTCCAAGAAGGCCCACGAGGCCCCGACGAGGGCCCCAAG